TCCAGGCTTATGTTCATGGGGGTAGACGGCCTTGACAGAACGGTTCACATTAAAATCATCACAGAACCCAGCATCAGTCAAACTCTCGACATCATGGACATTGACAACGAACCATCCTGGATGGACCCGATTATAGAATTCATCACAAACGGAAGTCTACCGAGCGATGTCAGGTTGGCCAGAAGCATCAGAGCCCGAGCTCCTAGGTACTGCATGATCAGCGGTGTCCTTTTCCGCAGAAGTATTACTCTTCCGGACCTAAGGTGTCTCAGGCCATCAGAATCATCCCAGGCCCTTGCTGAAGTTCATGAAGGTGTGTGCGGGAATCATCAAGGAGCCAGGGCCTTGGCCTTTAAACTCGTACGATATGGATACTACTGGCCAACTATGAAAAAAGACGCCTCAGAATATGTTAAAAATTGTGATAAGTGCCAGAGGTTTGGCAATATTATCCACTCACCAGCCGAGGACCTCACCAACATTAACTGTTCGGCCCCGTTTGAACAATGGGGAGTTGACATCCTCGGCCCCTTCCCTGTGGCAAGAGGTCAGTTAAAGTTTGTTGCTGTAGCAGTAGAGTACTTCACAAAATGGGTAGAGGCCGAACCTCTCGCCACAATATCAGAGCCCAAGCTAAGAGCCTTCACTTGGAGGTCTATCATTTGCAGGTTTGGGATACCAAAGGTCCTCATCACCGACAATGGCAGGCAATTTGACAACCAACAGTTTAGAAACTTTTGCTCAAACCTTGGGATTGATCACCGTCTGACGTCAGTTTCGCATCCTCAGAGCAACGGTCTAGCCGAGGTAACAAATCGAATCATATTGCAAGACCTCCGAACAAGAATAAGTGATGCTAGGGGTTCTTGGTCCGACGAGCTGCCTTCTATACTTTGGACGTACAGAACAACTCATAGGACAACCACAGGAGAAACCCCTTTTATGTTAGCCTATGGCGTTGAAGCAATGGTCCCAGTGGAAATTAGACTGCCAAGCCATAGGAGGCTCGTGCCAGAAACCTCGGAGCATACAACTGAACATCTTGATCTCTGGGAAGAAGTACGGGAGCAAGCCGCTATAAAAGTGGCCTCTTACCAAGCAAAGACAGCAAAACATTTTAATCGCAAAGTCAAGGCTCGGAGGTTCAGAGCTGGCGATTTGGTCTTGAGGAGGGCCGAAGCAGCAGGCCACCCCCCAGGGAAGCTCGGGCCCGTCTGGGAAGGGCCCTTTGAAGTCATACGGCAGGTTCGCAAAGGAGCATACAGCCTAAGAGACACTTCGGGTAGACCCCTTCCGAGGCCCTGGAATGCCGACAATCTGAAAATATATTACAAGTAAAATTCTCGACGCCTTTGAGGAGATTTTCTTTTTCTGCATTTTATTTCTAGTTTAGCGGGCCTGCGTGCCCATGCATGTTTTCCGTTCTCTTTTGTAATGAACTACGTTCGGCTTGATCCCGTTTGGGTACGTAGGCAGCTTGGATGCAATATAAATCCAAGTCCAGTCCAAACAATTAATAAATCCAGACATCGGGTATAACAGCCCCTCCAAGCCTTGCCCTCAAGCAAGCCCCCTCAAGCCTTGTCCTTGACAAGCCAATTTAAGTCTTGCCCCCGAGCAAGCCAATTTAAGCCTTGCCCTCAAGCAAGCCCCTTCAAGCCTTGCCCTTGACAAGCCAATTCAAGCCTTGCCCCCGAGCAAGCCAATTTAAGCCTTGCCCTCAAGCAAGCCCCTTCAAGCCTTGCCCTTGACAAGCCAATTCAAGCCTTGCCCCCGAGCAAGCCAATTTAAGCCTTGCCCTCAGGCAAGCCAATTCAAGCCTTGTCCTTGACAAGCCAATTCAGGCCTTGTCCTTGACAAGCCAATTTAAGCCTTGCCCCCGAACAAGCCAATTTAAGCCTTGCCCTCAAGCAAGCACCAAAGCCTTGCCCTACGCAAGCACAAAAGGCCTTGATCATATGCTCAAGTGTAAACCATTAAAGTAGGGGGACATACAAAAATCCCACATTATTTTGGACAATCCTCGAGGATGTCACATTACAACTTTTTAAAGATAGTGTGCTCGAGGATTACTCGAGGATGTCACATTACAACTTTTTAAAGTTAGTGTGCTCGAGGATTACAGTCCTCGAGGATGTCACATTACAACTTTTTGAAGTTAGTTTGTCCTCGAGGATGTCACATTACAACTTTTTAAAGTTAGTGTGCTCGAGGATTACAGTCCTCGAGGATGTCACATTACAACTTTTTGAAGTTAGTTTGTCCTCGAGGATGTCACATTACACTTTTTGAAGTTAGTGTGCTCGAGGATTACAGTCCTCGAGGATGTCACATTACAACTTTTTAAGTTAGTGTGCTCGAGGATTACAGTCCTCGAGGATGTCACATTACACTTTTTGAAGTTAGTGTGCTCGAGGATTACAGTCCTCGAGGATGTCACATTACAACTTTTTAAGTTAGTGTGCTCGAGGATTACAGTCCTCGAGGATGTCACATTACAACTTTTTTAAAGTTAGTGTGCTCGAGGATTACAATCCTCGAGGATGTCACATTACAACTTTTTCAAGTTAGTGTGCTTCCTCGAGAATGTCACTCAATTTTTAAAGTTTGGTTGTGCTCGGGACTACGGTCCTCGAGAACGCCTCAATCTTTAAGACTAATTGTTCTCGAGGTTTACAGTCCTCTAGAATGTCACATCATCATATTTTTATTGTTGCTCGAGAATGTACGTCTCACCTTTTAATCCCTCAAACACGCTCGAGTTGTGGAATCCTCGAGTAAACACTTCAATATCGCGCGAGCAGTAAAGTTTCGAATTTGATTGCTCGATTGTATGGAGTCCAAGAGGTCGAGATAAATAGTTCGAATAAATTAACTGAACATACATAGTCCTCGACCAATCTACATTGTCAAAATTAAACAAAAAATTACAAAGGATCGGGGTGGGGAAGTCATCCAATGTGGCCGAGAGGAGGATCGAGGTTGCTGATGTCGATCTCAACGTCGTCCTCAAGACCATCCTCATCATCTCCACCAGATCCTCCTCCATCTTCCGAACCCGAGAGCTCCAATGTATCAGCAATGGAGGGCACCATCTTCAGGTCATCAGGAGTGACGTCGGGCAATTTCTGCCTGAGGAAGGCCCGGGCTTCTTTCAGAGCATGGAAGTACGCCCCCGACGCATACTCCCCTTTTATCTTGTCGCAGTCCTCGGAGGTTTTAAACTCCTCCCAAGCCCTCTCCCTGACAGCCTCGAGCTCGCGCCCGAAATCCTCTGACTTCTGGATGAGCTCGAGCCTCGCGCCCTCGATCTCATCCTTTGCTGCAACCAAGTCATCCCTGGCCTTTGCAGCCTCCTTCCTCGCGTCATCACGCTCCTTCAACAAGACCTCGACCTGAGCCTCGAGGTCTTGGATCCTGCTGTCCTTAGAGGCCATGGACGTCTCGACCCCAGCTGCCCTCTTGGCCTCCTCGAGCCCTTGCAAAGAGAGTCCTCGAGCTATACTCAACATCTGAAAAAAAAAATGAAAATGAAAGTGGTGTTAAGCTCGACCAAGAAACTCGAGGCTGAAGTCAAAGGTTCGAAGATTACCTTCACTGTGAGACCCTCGAGGACCCTCATCCCATCCTCGAGCTTGACCTCCTCTTTGTATTTATTCACGAGCTCAGGAGCGAGGTGGCAAGTCTCAAAGTCCCCGGTGAGAGATGGGTCGTCGTCGAGGTCAACCACTTCCGAAGGAGGCCGAGGAGTGACGACCCGAGGAGTGGGAGACCTGAGGTTCGGTTGCTGAGGGGTCGAGACTGGTGGATCCGCTCGAGAAGTTTCGCCAGGCCCCCTTGCACCCTCAGGAGTCCCTCGAGGCCTCTTCTTGCTTTTCTTCCTCGGGAGCTGTCCTTGTGGATGAGCGCTCCCCCTTGAGCTTACAAAATTCCGAAGGGCCCGAGGATCAAAAGACATACCTGCAAAAATTTATCAACATTTTAGAACGAGCACAAGGTCAGGATATTTTTCAAAAAATAATAATAATTAAACATCCCTACCCTCGACGCCTCTAATATCTGCCAGGTCTATAACCTCTTCCCCAATCTCCTTCATCGTCGAGAAAAGGGGGCTGAGCCCGACCAGCATCCTCCTATGCTCTTCCAAAACATCCGGATACACCTGGCCCTCACAGAACTTCTCGGCGTCGGGGATTCCCCAATCAGGCCAGAAAGGAAGATCGGGTTCTTGGGCTATAACATAAAACCACCCCTCCCTCCATCCCTTCAAGGAGCTCGCCATCCTTGGGACTTTAAAACCCCCAATCGTCGAGAGATAACCAAAACAAGTGTATCGAGGATGCTTCTTAAGCTCGAACACTAATTTGCTGAGGCTAATGTTGGGCTCGATACCTAAGTATCTACATGCTATAAAAAAATAAACGAGCATTCTCCAGGCGTTGGGCACTAACTGCCCCGGGCACATGGAGTGCTCGACTAACAGAGCAATAAAGAAAGGGTGAAGGGGCCACCTAAAACCAGCCTTAAGGGTCTCCCTGAAAATAACAAACTCCCCTCGTCGTGCTCGGACAATCCTATCCTCGGGGTCTGGGAATCTAACATCGCAGTTAGGTATTATACCGTATTCCCTAGCTGCAGCTATGACTGTGTGCTCTTTAAGCCTACAGGGCTCGTCGGGATACTCAAAAACCATATTAACCTGGGCCTCGGGAGTAGCCTCTAGGGGAATAGCCGTCGGTATTATCGAGGTCCCTACGTCCTCACTACTGCTAGAGCTACTAGAAGATTCTCGACCCTCACTACTCGACATCACTTAAGAAACTTAAGACCTAGCTTATGAATAACTTAGAGTCTCGAGCCTTACCTGGAATTCCCGACGACTTGAGAAGTTCCCAAAAGTGTTTTTCTCGAGCACGACCTCGCAAAACTCTGATTTACAGTGGGTAAAAGTGAAAAATGATGGTGAGATCAATAGTATTTATAGGTGAAAACGATGGGAGGCCAAAGGTCGCTATCTACGACCGTCCATGAAGACACGTGTCACAATCCAAGCCACTCTCTGCAACGGTCATTTCTCGACCTATATCATCAGCCATCACTTCTCGACGAAGGCTCGAGAAATGACATAACCCATGTGCACCCCATCCTAAGAGCTCGATCTCTAGGACGAGTGCACGGGGGCCAGTGACTATGCCAATATTGATATACCCGAGGAGAGTATCCCCGAGGACTCAATACATACCCCACCTCATTTCTCTCCCTATGGTCCTCGGGGTAACCCAAGTCCTCGAGGTATCGTAGTCGTCGAGATACCTCGAGGACACGTTTACCTTCCCTAAATGTCCTCGAGAATAGTCCTCGAGACATACACCACCAACATGCCTCGTAAGACCTGGGTACCTAACTAACAAACCTAAACACCCAAGGATTTTACATCAACCCTTACACCACTTGTCAAACAATTCCATTACAAGTAGGATACTCTTTATAATAGAAATTCCCTTGGATAAAAACATCCAACCAACACAATCCTACTAGGAGTACACTACCTACTCCTATAAAAGCAGAGCCTTGGGCCATTATTCAGGTACGTTTTTACATTGTTCTTCAGCACATAGCCTCACGCATATATCTCCCTTTCTGACTTAAGCATCGGAGGGGCGACGAGAACACACCTCGTTGCCTTTGTTTCAGGTATCGGAAGATCACGTTCGTGCTCATCATCAGTCATCAAGCTCGGAAAATCTACAGGTACGATTTTTGGTAGCATCATTACCCATCATATCAAGCTACTATATTTGATTTTTAATCTTTTGTACGAAATTTATAACGATTATATATTTTTTATTTTTTTTTATTTTTACACTATTGTGGCTCAAACGAGGATATAGATTGAAAAAGGAGGAGGTACAAATTATAAGATTTTGATTCAATTAAGCCCTTGTTTGAGGTTTGGAATCAATATTTCTCATAAGACACGTGCTTCGAATCTTGAGAGACGTAAAACTACGCACGAAAAATCCAATAGGTTGTTAGACATTGGAATCATGATCAGAAATAAAAATGTTCAATTTTCAAACGAATTCCATATGCAAAATGATCAATCCAAACCAAATTGATATGTCCCCACAAATCAACTGATTCAATAATTTTTGTTGATTCAAAATTCTTGTTAGAGCAAGAGAAGTGAGATTCAATAATTCTAACCGAATGAAACATAGATAGATGACCAAATTAAGCATACGTTTGACCTCCACTTGTTAAAAACTTATTCTCAACCACACAATACATATGATTACAACTTTTATCCACTTTTCAACTACACATTTATCGACTTTTATTAAAACCTACTAAAATTATGATTTTTATCTATAATATATTAAATATCACGTCAAAGAAGAATCATTTTTTGAATGATTTCAACTCCCCTACAATTCAATTATTTCAATAATACCTTACTTTTCATTTTTCGATATGTAATAAATATTACAAAATGATTATCATTTATTAAATTTGTTTGATTAATTATCAATTAATTAACATTCACATTAATTCAAATTCAATGAATTTTCACTTGATGAATCTTGAATTACATGAATTTATTTCATATATCTAAAAATTTTAATGAGTATTTAAATTTATGTATTAACAATTAATTTTCATATATAAAATGTAATATAAAAAGATTACTCATTTATAATATTTCATCATTATAAAAATTTGAGTCATAGAAATTGAATTTTGAAAGTACAATTTGAATCTAATTTTATTCTCTTAAATTTCTATGCTACCTTATATTTTCTTTAATTCGTACGAGACTCATCAAATCCTCCAACAAATTGGTACAAAATATTACTTTTACATCACTTGTAAACTATTTTAGAATAACATGCAATGCAAATTCAACTTTGCCCAGTATAAATAAATAGGCTAAAATTTTAGAAAGATTGTACTTCAATTACCAACGGATTTCTGCCTTGAAATGATACATTTTAGAAAATTAAGATGAAACATCCTAACGTTTCGATAGATTAAGGAAATTAAATTATAAGCAAGTTCATTCTTAAAGTCCAAAAGCCACTCTTTGCAAATAATCGGGGCGTCTTTTGCTGGGCATCCGAATTAGCCCTGTAATCTGCAGCTCTGTAATTGCCCTGCAAAACTCTGCTCTGTACAATATAGTGTCAAGGAGTTCCACAAGAAAATCCGTGTTGAATTCTAAGAATGACAGACAAATAATGTGTACAACGGAATGAATATCAAAAGGATACTGAATCGACGCATCACTTCTGTTGCAAGGTTCAATGGAACCTTTCCGTTTCTTAGGTGATGGTGACAGCCTCAACCTCTGTTTGGCTTTCGAACCAGGATGAGAAATGATTGATTTGAATGACTGAAACCAGTCGTGAAGATTGATGAGATCGCCATGCTCTTGAGTAAGGGTATACCTATGACACAAAAAGAAGATAAATTCAATGCTCGTGCTGCCATAGAGATTGAGGGAGACTTTGTTGAAGATTTTAACAGTTTAAGTTTTTAGATGAGTTGGTTTATCAGGTAGAATTCATTGTCATTGAAACTTATTTGCAAACAAGCAAGATAAGAAAAAGGTAACTGGAACCATATAGTTCTTGGAGAAGCTGCAAAATGTCAATTATGCCAGAAGATAGTTTTCTCTGTAGATCCTTGAGATAATGTGTTAAGGATTTAAATTTGATCCGCAGTAAAAGATTTCCGTAGACCAACATTTTCATCTGATCAACAGTCAGATTATAGGCAGATCCTAACACGATATTCCCAGAAGAAATGATAGTGTCTGAAGGAATGCGATGGATGGTATTACTCACAGTATGGAGGTATCATGCATGGATGGTGATGGCATACTGCCATTCTTGCTGCAGCAAGAACACTTGAGGAATTTGTGAGACTCCAAAAGGTCGGCTTGAATTCTTCTTCTAGGATCTCCAATCAAAGCCTATCATAATGAAAATTAAATAGTAAGAAACGAGAATATCAATATGCATTATTCAAAAATTTCAGAGTAAAGTTCTTAACAAAAATTGATTTTGACCTTCTAACTTGAGTTGTCTTCACATAGATATTACTCAACTTTAACTTGACTCCTTTCATTTATTGATGATCAGAATTGCATAAAATATTCAACTGTAAACATTTCTTTTTTAAAATTCTCTCCCTTTCTTTCTACTCTTATGGAGTCCATTGTCTAAAGTAATATTTCAAGGAACTTAAAAAGAAGAATTATAAACACTTAACTGTTCGAAGTTTGTCAACATTATCAAAGAAGACAATTTCATTGAAAGGTATACTTTCAATGGGCTGCATATATCGCCTGATCCATAAGAAAGGGATTGCATGTTAGAAGATGTTTCTATAAGAACACAAACAGCGGTGTGTACATCTCAAATATGATACCACTGGCATGTTATAGATATCAATAGAACAAAAATTTTAGGCTCTTGATTTTAAGAATCGAGCTACGTTATAAATGTATACTATTAGGTTTCACATTTCAAAATCCAATTTTTGCTTTTACCTTACACAAGCCAGCCAAATTGTGGTTGTCTGAGTCATACTAAGCAGCCAGTGATATCAGCCAAATACAAAATATATGATATAACAAGCCTCAATAGAACTCAAGTAAAAACTCAAAATGACGTTACAAAAGACTAAATCATTGCTTACAGCAGAATTTGCGATAATCGACCTATAGGATGTTTATTTGTTGATACCTAAAA